CCCCAGTTATTCAGATGAACAACTATTTTTTTTTAGTAAGAAAACTTTCTGGACCTTTTAAGATTATTTTTATGAGTTCATGACCAGATAGGAGGAATAAGAAATAGAGGAATAGTTCTTTCTTTTGTTGTTTCTGCTGGCAGAGTGCATTTGTCCATGAGCCCATACTTTTGAGCTAGATCTACCATTTCTTGGGTTATAGGCTGGAACATAACTGTAGTAGACACTATCAGTCTTGAAAGAATCAACACCTTTTTGTAGAAATAAATGTTATTCTTGTTGTTTTGATACACTAAAAGACAAATTCATATATTTTCTAAGATAAGCATTTGCTCCTATAAGCATGACTCAGTATTTCACATTTGTGTCTAGAATATATCTCGCATTATATCCTGCCAGGACAATATGTTATTGAATTGCTGTCTGTTGTATTGTTTTGATACCAAAGTATCTATTTAACAAATATGTACATATTGATATTTGTTTTTGCTTAATAAACATTTTAACACCTCACATTTCTATCTTATCATTTTATAAACAGAATTTAATACCCATTTTTTACTATTTCTCTGCGCAATGAATTGCTCTCTGCCTACTCGATTTTATATTATGTAAGCTCTCTGTTTAGGTCAAAGGGTCCCTACTAGAAACAAATGAAGTTTCTTGGGGTAGCATTTAACCATGTTTATTGTAAAAAAAAAAAAGGACAGGGTATCTGATCTTTAAGAATCTCTTTTCTTGCCAGGCGCTGGTGGCTCAAGCCTGTAATCCTAGCTACTCAGGAGGCTGAGATCTGAGGATCGTGGTTCAAAGCCAGCCCGGGCAGGAGAGACCGTGAGACTCCTATCTCCAATAAACCACCAGAAAACCGGAAGTGGCGCTGTAGCTCCAGTGGTAGAGCGCTCGCCTTGAGCTGAAGAGCTGAGGGACAGCGCCCAGGCCCAGAGTTCAAGCCCCACAGCCGACCAAAAAAAAAAAGAATCCCTTTTCTCCCTTTATCTTGCTCTTGCTTTCATGATGACTTAAATATCTCCTCTAACAGAAAACCCCATCCAATCTACTTTTAGAATAGAGATGCTCAAAATAAAATAAACCTGTATAAAAATTAGAGTACATAGTGGCTATAATCCTCAAGAGACTGAGATCTGGAGGATTGAGCAAGCGCATAAAAAATGCCATCTCCAATTAACCAACACAAAGTTGGGCTAAATGTAAGCCTGAAGTTGTAGGGATCCAGCTGAGCAAGCAAATAAGCAAACACAATGAGAATGAACCTCTGAGTTCAAGCCCCTGTACTGGCAAAACAACAAAAACAAACAAACAGCATACTTCTCAGCATCACCAGCACTAGAATCAGTTGTTAAATTAGAAAACACATTGCCCTAAAGGGTTAACAGTATAAATGAGACACTATTAAAACAAGGGCCTATGCGAAGAGGTTTGTAACACTATAAATCTGAAGATGTTTACCTGTACAAATTTCCCAGATCACCTAGAGAAAGGACTTAGTGTCTTGTGTTTTTGTACACTAAAGTGGGAGTATGCCTTCTCTAAGTCATTGCTAATACTATCACCTTCTTAGGTAAAGGTATTACAAAGTAGCTTATTCCCTAATTGTCTCAATATTTATTTGGTCAAATGCTAAGAAATGAAACAATTGCAGATAAGTTTATATAGATAAAAATATTATTAATGATTGATTTTTCTCCCAGTGTACCTCAGACATTAAGGCCACCCTTAAAAAACTGGATAAGATCTACTATAGGTATGAGTCAAGCGGAAAAGGTCAGATAATGTGATGTTAGGAAAACGAACCCTTAAATATGTATTTTAATGTTTTTGTTTCTTTCATGCATGTGTTTCTAACGCATTTATAAAATTATTTCTTTGTTGCTTTGTATGTCCCTCCCCCACAGTGTAACCCCCGCTTTCACTATATTTGATGTCAGTATAACTTGTGGAGGAGATGGGGACAAACAAGTCGTTTAAGTATTCAGGTGGACCTGTTGCAACAATGAGAAGTACAAAATGTCATGTCAAAACCAGCTTTACAATGTCGGTGTGGGGGGGGGGGGAGCAGGGGTATGATTGGGAGGGGGGGAGGGGGGAGGCTGGGAAGGGAGGTGAAGGGTAAACAAAGGAGGAGGCTGCAATGCTTGGTAAGAAATGTATGCATTTTCCTGCCCATGTAATTGTAACCCCTCTGTACAGTATGTTCTCAATTAAAATAAAATAAAAATTAAAAAAAAAAAAACTGGATAAGGGACACCTCACACCCCAGTGGAGACTTTAGAGACAGCATTCAAGGTGTACAATGGGAGAGAATGAAAAAGCCCAAAAGGTTAAATAGCAAATACTAGCCAAGGCAAGTTAGAGACTGCACTTGGAAGAGATGGTTATAGGCACACGTCTCCCATGTCTGCTTAAAACATTGGAAAAATATTGGGAAAAGATCTAGTTAATGAGGTTGACACTCTGGTAAATTACTCAGGGGCTACGGCCTAAATCCGTGGGGCACCAGCCTGCAAAAGCCAGTCTACTCAAAGAAAGCAGCCAGGAAAATACTGAGAGATTTCAACCGTCTGACCCATCTGTGTAGAAATTGCAGACCCCTCAGCAGGAGGCGATCAATCAGTCCATTCCAGAGCACAGACCACAGAGAACAGCCACAGCCCTCCATTGACCAATGTGTAACTTCACCTCTTTCCCGACAATTTCCCCCCCCCCCCACTTCCATTGACTGATCTTGTGCATGACCTGACAAATCCCTTTCTGGATTACTTCTAGCTCCTCCTCTATACTTTATGGGGGGAATTACTCTCCTTTGAGGAACCTATTAACCTCACCCACCTGTTAGACCTGGAACAGGACTTACATTTACAAGGAGTCATTGTGGATTTCATGCCCCCTGAAATTTATCTCTTTACTCACTTTTCACTCCTTTCACATATTTTTTTTTGGTGGGGGGTCCGGTCATGGGGCCTGAACTCAGGGCCTGAGCGCTGTCCCTCAGCTCTTCAGCTCAAGGCTAGCACTCTACCACTTGAGCCACATTGCCAATTCTGGCTTTTTTTCTTTTTGCTTATGTGGTGCTGAGGAATCAAACCCAGGGCCTCATGCATGCAAGGCAAGCGCTCTACCACTGAGCCACCACCTCATCCCATCATATTTTAACTGTCCTTTAAATCAACCTTTACTTCTCTCATTTCAGACAGGGACTTCCCTTTGTCTTCCCTGATGATGCCCTCCCTCCCAGGGTACCCCTCTGCTTTCTGAGTCACCCATAAATTCTGGAGAACAGGCAGATCTTCCTAAACATTGTCTGCCACAGCAAGATTTCTGGATGTCTATATGATTTTCTGGCAGGGACTAACACAGGCAGAAGGGGGCTGATCACTCAGGCAGACTAACAATACTCTTGATTGAAGGATGGTCCATGCAGAAATATAGAACTCTATTGTGATAGTCGACTATTTCTACAGAAGAGGATCCTTTCCATTATAAAAACAAATTTGTTTTTCTTACCACATTAGGTCATTGTGTATTGAAAATTTCTTTATAGTTCTTTGTATTATACACTTTGTAAACATGGATAATTCATTCATAATTTATTGTGGGATAATATAATCTAATGAGGGATGTTATAGTTTTACTGTCTAAACATAGATTTTTCAAATGCCTTGTATAAATTTCACTCGGTTCATATATTAAATAAGTTTGTGGAATCCTCTAAAAATGTTTCTTAAAAAGCCCATAAATAGAAACAAACATCCTCATTTTTTTCAATAAGTTTTTTTATTGTGAAAATATCATACAGAGGGGTTACAATTACATGTAATAAGTACATTTCTTATCAAGCATTGTTGCTGCCTCCTCTTTCTCCAACCATCCCTGCCCTCCCATCACCACGCCTACTATCGCCTTATTATAGCATTTTGGACATCTCATTGTTTCAATCGGTCAACTGTATCACTAATTAAACAATTTGGTTTTTTCCCTTCTCCTCCCCAAATTATACTAACATCAAATACCGTTAAAACAAGGATTATACCGTGGGGGAGGGTCATAAAAAGCAACAAAACCATCACTTTCTAAATATATTAGAAAGAGTAGAAAGAAAAATAACCGCTTGTGTCCTTATCTTGGGGTTCATTTCACCTAATACCATCTTATCTGACCTTTTCTGTTTGTCTCAGGCATATACTAGTTATTGCAAATAAGGGAAACCCTGGGACCTATGTTTCTTTGGGCCTGGCTTACTTCACTTAATATAATTTTTCCAAGTCTTTCCATTTCCTAACAAATGGGGCAATGTCATTCTTTCTCTGATGGAAGCATAGAATTCCATTGTGGATATTAACCACATTTTCTTGATGCATTATCTACTGAGGGGCATCCGGGTTGGTTCCATATCTTAGCGATGGTAAATAATGCTACAATAAACATAGCTGTGCTGCTAGCTTTAGTATGGTCTTGTTTGTGATCATTCGAGTAAATGCCCAAAAGTGGGATTGCTGGGTCATAGGAGAGCTCCATGTGGAGTCTTTTGAGGAACCTCCACACTACTTTCCAAAGTAGTTGAACAAGTTTACGCTCCCACCAACAATGCAGTAAAGTTCCCTTCCGTCCACATCTTTAATGTTGAAAATCAAAGAGTGGTAGAGCTCTTGCCAAACTTGGGTTTAACACTCAGAATAGTAAGAAAAGAAAGCAAACCGAACAATGGCAAAAAGAACACAATCAACCAAGTGAAGGAATAGATTGTGTAAAGACAGAAAATATTTTGATATACATTTAATAAACTAATTGATATTAAGTGAATAGGAAATGGAATTTTTGTACTAAATTAAATGTACTTACTAAATATTTATGACACTGAATTTCCATTCTAAATTATTCTCTAGTTTAAATTACAGATAAAATCATAATTTCCTTTCTAAAACACTCTCTAGTTTACATTACAAATAAAATCATAATTTCTTTGTAAAACATTCTCTAGGTTAAATTACAGACAAAATCATAGCCAACCCCCAAATAGCCAAACTGGATGCAGAAATATTGATCCCCAGAGCAGGGATGCTGGAATCTTGGGGAGCAGTGAACCTAATTGATAGTTTAACTTCTGAGATGAGATGAGATTCATTGTTGCCTTTGGTTGCAATGAAGATCTCGATGCCATTCTCTACTTTAAAACATTCTGCTTTAAATCCAAATGTTTCTTCAGAGCCAGCCTCCTTAGATGTCAGATCAGCAGCATGGTAAAAATCATGTTGGAGCTCCTGGGAAGACTTACTTCTTATGGTATAGTTGGCAGCTGAAACACAGAAAGGATGGGTCACTGCAGGCACGTTGCCTGGTGGGTACCAATCAGATGCTCACTATTTTTTAGAGAATGCCAGAGACAGCATTTGTCTGGTTATACCATTGTTCTTATTTTAACAAGTACACCAGGTTTTTAAAATGTATTATATGATCACAGAAAATTTTCATTCACTGTCATGAAGCATTGAACCTCCCTCCCTGCCAGAATTTAATTTATACAGAGCTGAATGAGCTTTTTGATTTGGAACAGGGAGCACAGGAATGCTCAAGTGTGCTTTCTTGTGAAGGTGAAAGAAAGTAATATGAGAGGGGAAGAAGTGATATGATGAAGGAACAGAGGAGTGGGAGGAGACCCAAAAGCTGGAGTTTGTACTAAGCTCAGGACCTAGGGCAGACCTTGACTGGTGATCTCCATTACTGGTTTTCTAAGTAATAGAACGTTTTACCTCAACTTTCTCATCTGAAGCTTATCAAACCTGGAAAACATAGATTAAGTCATTCAGCTCTATCAAATATTTATTGAGTATCTACTACTCCACTGGTGAGAATTATAAACAGTAATACATGAAGTAGTTACACAATTAAATACATTAAGAATGAATGTTTGAAATGTTAGCTACAACTATGAATAGTTAAGAAAGAAAGAAGGATGTCTACATAAATGGCTCATCCCGACTGCTTTTAAAACTCTACCAGAGATATGGACATGTAAGTATATTCTAGAGATACCAGTGGCTCATGGTTGTTTCCTAGCTACCCATGAGGCTAAGAGCTGAGCATGTTGGTTTGAAGCTCAGGCAGGAAAGTCTATGAGACTTATCTCTACTAACCAGCAGAAGCTAGAAGTTGAGCTGTGGCTCTAGGGATAGGGTACAAGCCTTGATCAAAGAAGCTCAAACAGTGCTGAATCTCTAGATTCAAGGCCCGGAGCTGGCATCCACTATGAAAAAAAATATCCTGAAGCTAAGTATGGTGGCTTCCATCTGTAATCCCAGCTACTTGGGAAGGGAAGATCAGAAGAATCTTTGCTCAAGACCAGCTGGGGCATAAAGACTCCCATCTTAACAAACATGGTAGAACATACCTGCGATCCATATTATGCAAAAGGTACAGGTAGCAGAATTGTAGTCTTCTGCCAGTCCAAGCAAGAAGTTTAAGACTGTCTAAAAATTAACCAAATCCAAAAGGGCAGACTCAATTGGTAGAGTGCTTGCCTCGTATGCTTAAGACAATCCTTATCCCTAATATAGCAACAGAAATGAAAACTAAACAAAAAAGCTTTTCATGTTTAGAAATTGAATGTTAGGACATCGAATGCCCTTCTTTGAGATGAAGACAATTTTTTATGTTTTGTGAAACGATGACACTATTTTTTAAAAACAAGTTAAGTAACTTTTGGACTGTTTTTTTTTATTTTGATTTTTTGCCAGTCTTGTGGCTTGAACTCTGGACCTGAGCTTCTTTTTGCTGAAGGTACTACCACTTGAGCCACAGCACCACCTCCAGCTTTTATGTGTTTTATGAGCTTTTATGAATGTCTTAGAGACATTCCTGACTGTGCTGGCTTCAGATCAGTCCCTATCCTAGATCTCTGCCTCTTGAGCATCTAGGATTATAGTAGTCATCCATCAGCACCTGGCCTGGCTAAGTTAAGATTAACATGTAGTTTCTCTATACATAGCCTTGGTGGCATACTCTACCATTCTGCACATAAACCTTGTGTTCCACTGAGGGAAGTCTTCTTCCCCCTTTCCCTGCTCTATCCTTTCCCCTTCCTCTCCTTCCTCCCCTAGCTTAACCCAAATATTATGACTAGTGTGAGACATGAGCCTGGTACAAGGATTATCTTTCATTCATCTTTGTAGCAAGCATCTTCTATAGTTCTGGCCTCACACCAGATGATCCGTCCAAAATTTTTCATTGTAATTGAAATGAACCAGTGTAGATGTTAACAAAACATGTGACAACCTATTTTATACTCAACCCAATAGTATGAATATAATTTGGAAACAGAGAAGTTGAATACATAATTATATACTTGACTCTTCCATAGTACATAAAATTTTCCATGTTTGCCACATGCAATGTACAAAAACATGTGACTCATTTCAATTTTAATGCTACTTACCATTTACAACATCTAAAAATCTATCTGGCAGTGTGATTTCTTGCCTGGACAAGAACTTTTAAACTCTATCTACCACTTCCATTGTATTCTATAAAATATCTGGGGTAGATACCATCATTTTTGACAGTATCAGCATCTTTAGGTTCAAATGTAATAGTTACCCAGTAAATACAAATGGCGACTGTTTCTCCCTGGAACAGTAATGATATCAGCAGTTTAGGAGATAGCACAGCACATATGAACACTAGAATTAGACTCCATTCCAACCTTGGCTTAGCTACATGCTAATCTTTCGATATTGAAAACAGTCTAACTGTGATTGCATGTATTCAACTGATATTAGCTGCTATTATTTTATAAAAGAAACTTATCATAATGAAAATATATTTGGTTGGGGAAATTATAGTTGAAACACTAACACTTAGAATACTGGAGTAGGATTGTATTCATCTATTCCATGAGAAAAATAAAATTTTTCTAGAGTTTGAAAGATAATAGTGTTTTATTTTACTTTGTCAGAGTCAGTAAAACAGTTATAAACATTATAACTTTGAAATATGTAGTACAAGCATATATATCTTATGACTTCATCATAGGATCCTCTACGAGATGTTTTAAGTCCAATGTAATTTGAAGCAGATGCCAGTTACCTGCACCATTGTTCCAGAGTCCATCTGCAATCTCTACAATGATTATTACTTCGACATCAAACATAAATACATCCTCTTCCCAGACTTTGGCATGACAAATTCCAAGGTTTATGTATTGTGCTGTATTTTGACTCCTGTAAGCAGCTCCCATTGCTGGAAGTATGGAAGGATTTCTTGCTCCAGTGATCATTGTGACTGATAGTAATTGAGGTTGGGCTTGATTATTTAAAAGTCCGTAAGTCCAAGTACCTCTCTGGAAAAAAAAAGAAAAAACAAAACTTCCTTCAAAGCCTTATTAATATTACTCTTTCCTCCCAGTGGAAGTGGTTCAGACCCGTAATCCTAGCTCCTGCGGAGACTGAGATGTGAGGATTGCAGTTTGAAGCCAGCCAGGGCAGGAATAGCTATAATAAATTTTAATTTCTGATTGTATCAGAAAGAAAGAGAGGATTGATACCATGGACCAAGTAGAACAGTGCCAGTCTTGGGCAAAAAAGAGCTCAGGGGCAGCGCCTAAGAATGAGCAACAAACTCTCTCTCTCCTTGGGATATAAACTGATTTAAAAATACAAAGAGCTTATATATATATATATATATATATATATATATATATACATACATATGTACATATATATGTATATGCATATATGTGCAAGTATACATATACATGTACATATATATGTTGTTGTATGCATGTAATTTATATGTATATATATAAGTGTGTATAATTTTGAGGATAGAAATTGTTTTCATCTATACTAGATAACTTTCTTTTTCCAAACTACACCACCCAGCTCTAATAGCTATTGGAAAGCTGATTTTACAAAGTAGTAAATAACATGAATGTGAATTATTACATATTCCATTCATTTTTATGGCAGATGAGCTGTTTTAATTTTAATATTGACAATACACAAGACAAAATCATATTTATAAAGTAGTAATTAATAAAAACAAAGTGAAAATGAAAGAATAGAATTACCTCTGCAATGCCCGGTATTCGAAGATGGGAAGTTCGACTATTTTGCTTATGTTCTTTGAAATCTGAGGTATCATATTCTTTTCCTTTGGGATCTTGGAGAATAATTAGTGGTTTTTGCATTGTCCAGGTAACAACAAACAATGTGTCATTTCCAGTGGTGCTGTCCACAGACACTGTGCCATTGGCCCATGTCTTCCCTGTGACATTCAAGGCTTTGCTTTCCAACTGTTACATCAGTAAAAGGAAACACGTAAAACCAATTTGTTATTAATTTTGACAATGTGTGGGCTTGTACTGAGGGACACAAACTTGTTAGGCTGGTGCTCTGCCCCTGAACTACACTTCCAGTATTTGTTTGTTTGTTTTTGTCTGTTGGGATTGGGGAATTCTGGGCCTGGGTGCTATTCCTGAGCTCTTCTCAAGGCTTATGCTCTACCATTTTGAGACACAGTGCCACTTGTGGTTTTCTGGTGGTTAATTATCGATAAGGGTCTCATGGAACCAGGTGCTGGTGGCTCACGCCTGTAATCCTAACTACTCAGGAGGCTGAGATCTGAGGATTGTGGTTCAAAGCCAGCCCGGGCAGGAAAGACCATGAGACTCTTATCTCCAATAAACCACTAGAAAACCAGAAGTGGCACGGTAACTCAAGTGATAGAATGCTCACCTTGAGCTGAAGAGGTGAGGGACAGCACCCAGGCCCAGAGATCAAGCCCCACAACTGACAAAAATAAAAAAGAAAGAAAGAAAGAAAAAAAAGAGTCTCATGTAATTTCCTGGTCTGGCTTGCTTTGGACTCTGGTCCTCATATCTCAGCCTGATGAAGATGACAGGCATAATGCATATGTCTAATTGGCTTCAATTCCATGTTTGGCACTTACTATATGACTGCACAAACCATTTTGTTTCTTTCATTTCTAGGATAAGAGTAAAAATCCTTGCTCTTGACTATATGCTAAAATTAAAATAGTTTCTATTGTACTGACAAACTCTGAGGCTTAAACATAGATACTAATTAAAGTCCCTGAGAAAAGCTTTCTTTCTATTAGCTTAACTAGTGGAAAAAATATTAAGAGTTTGGCCTTTTAATTATTCAATAAAGGAATGATTACTAATAATGCATAATTAAATCATAAAACAAAACAGATTGAATACTGGCAGTTTGGATCAGTTTAACACAAATGATGAATACTGTCCAAACAAATTTAGGAAGTTGTAATGGTCTGAGTATT